TAGGAGAGCGGAGGCCTGTGGGTAATGGTGTCACTCCTCATTGTGATGTCTAGTCGTGACTAAGCCAGCAGGCATATGACGGAGACTTATTCTGCAGAATCAGGAGCCTGGGAGGAAAGAGGCAACGCAGCTGCAGCTGGCAGAGCTGCACAGACCTGATGGACAGGCCCATTGGGGTCATTACACACCTAGAGTCACCCAGGACACAGTGGTCAGAATGCTCCAGACCGTTCCCATCGTGTCTCATGGCTTGTTGGCCAGAAACAAACACGTCTTAGCTTCCGCCCTGCGCCCAGCGACTGTGTTGTGATGATGATGATATCATGTGACTGTGCTGTGATGATGATGTCATGTGACTCTGCACCCGCAGCAGTAACTCCAGAACATTTACTGATGACCTGTTCTTTTTCTTAGTATGGGGGGCATGGTGGGGATAGTACGTGTGTGCCTCAGAATGGTCATAGAGGTCAGAGGTCAGCCCTCGGGAGTCCATTCTCTCCTTTCACTCTGCGATCCCCAAGGACCAAACTCTGGTCATCAGGCTTCGCAGCAAGCACCTTAACCTGCTGAGCCATCCTGCTGGCCCTCACTTTGCTTTTCTGCATTGTTAAATTAAAACTTCTGAAAATTTATAAATGGAGTTGATCTCCTGTATGCATTGGGATGACTTGAGGATTTTGAATAGTTTAGCTTCATGCTGATTCTGCTCCAGTAGGTCTAGAGTGAAAAAGACATCACATGATAAAATTGCTGTGGGCATCTTGGGATCTGCTGGCTTTAGAGGAACTATTTGGTCACAAAGCATTTTGAATTCACGTCTTTCACCCAGAAAATTATTTCTCTTACACAAGAGATTGTGATTTTTTTTTTTTTTTCAGTTTTGAACCTAGTAATTTTATGGCATTTGGAACTATTTTCCCTTCAAATAATCTACCTAACATTCGTGGAGAGACCCGCCTTGGGTATTTTACTCCTTGCTCACTTAGCTTCTGTGTAGGCTCCTGCCTCCTGCATGTTTATTATTTCTTTCTGCATTTGGGAGATGTTTTTCCCTGAATGGCTTAAGATGCCAGTCACTGGAAAGTAAAAAGAGAGAAAGGATTTAAGCATGCTGCTTAAAAAGTACAGGTAGGAGAAAGTCACCTGTGGGTCCCTTTGCTTTCCCTGCCTCCGAGGCAGAAGGCACTGGCATGCTGCCTTCCCTGCCTAGACTTTGTGAACCCCTGGCTTTTTCATTCAGGACTGCTTTCAGGTGTGAGTGTGTATTGAGAGTTGAAGGACGAAGGGGATAGGTGTTTTTTGTTTTTTGTTTTTGTTTTTGTTTTTGTTTTTTTGGCAGTATGACATAAGTGTGCTAGGTAGTTGATTAGGAAAAGTGAACAAGGGAACAGTTAGATGGAAGCCACACTGACCTCCACTGGCTCACAAAGCCAGAAGCACAGTGTTAGGACTGCAGGCTGTAAGGCCCTGATCCAATCCTCATACACACACTAGAAAAAAGCTCTCATGAGCTGAAGCTTCCAAGACCTCAGTCAGCCTCAAAGATGCTTACGAGATGCACATAGAAACTAAACTTGCCTTCTTGTTCTGTAGAAGTGGTGTCTCAAGCCCAGGACCATTCAGATATCTAGTTACAGTGCTCGTCTGAGTCAGATAAAAGAGACATAGGGCATTCAGGGTCCCCCTTTGGGGTACTTAGTCTCATTAATTAAAAAAAATTAAGTATGTACTGATATGGAAATTTTATTAGTGCTTAAAAGTAAAGCCCCAGAGCAGGCAAGCTGTAAAAACCTCAGCAGCTGCTTAGTGGGCGAATGGAGGAGAGGAAGGGAAAAGATTGCCTTTCCTGCTAGCGCAGAGGTCAGACAAGGCTGGACAAGGAGCCACATGGTGGGAGAGAGGCAGGCTTTAGAAGAAGAGTAAGGAGGCCCAGAGTGTTGGGGGAAGCATGCTTAGAAAAGGGATGAAAAGGAAGAAAGAAAAAATAATCATGCCCCCTCCCTTTTTTTGAATGATGCAGAAAAGCAGGGAGACTTACCATATAACCTAATACACCTGGAGCCAGGGAGTCTCGGTAGGGGCAGGGATTCTGGGGAGTTTCTCTTTTATCTCATTAAAGAACCACTGAGTCCACCTTTCTCTGTAGCACGGCCTAAGGTGAGTTCCTGTCCCAGCACTGGTCCCTAGCCAAAGTGACCAGATGAGCCCATTTGGAATATTAGGCCTCCACCCAGGTCCAGAACAGTCCTGACTATTATTTTGTGTATGAATATTATCCTAGTACCTGGATACAGCAGGTGTTAAATACTGAGCTCAGCTGTATTGTTTTTCTAGCGACTGTTAATGAGTTGCAGTCTGCTAGAAAAAAATGCATTTTGAATCTAATTTTTGACTTGCTTTGTTAACACCTTGGCAAGTTTCTTACAAGCCCAGGCTGTTAGATTTCAGCAAATTGAAACAATAATAGAGTAAATGAACCAAGTGTCTTAGTCGCCGACAACACTTAGGAAAACCTTTAACCGGGGCTGGCTTATATGGAGTTCAGAGGTTTGGACCATTGTCATTGTGGGAGACATGGCAGTGGGCAGGCAGGCATGGAGCTGGAGAGGAGCCGAGGGTTCTACATCCAGACCTGCTAACAGAGGGACACTGCGCCTGGCTTGAGCATTTGAAACCCCAAAGCCCACCCCCAATGATACTTTTTTTCTCCCAGCAAGGCCACACCTCCTAATAGTGCCACTTCCTGGAAACCAAGCTTTCACATCTCTGAGCCTATAGTTGCCGTTCTTAAACCACCACACCAAGGTTATGGCAAGTTCTTAGTTTGGTATTTGTGAAAGGAGTAAATGGTAAACTAGCTATATATATAGCCATGGTTAAATAACTAAAACTATGTATAGAGCCATGGTTAGACTGCTGGGGTTTTTTTTAATTTAGAAAATGCTTGCTTCAAATGTCTCACAGCCTTGTAACTTTCCTAATTCCAGATTAATCCATGGGGGACAGATACTGAACGGACTGGCAGGTCCAACTGTCATGAACGCCGCGCCGTTCCTCTCCACGACATGGTTCTCCGCTGGTGAACGGGCCACCGCCACGGCCATTGCGTCGATGCTGAGTTACCTCGGTGGAGCATGTGCCTTTCTTGTCGGGCCCCTCGTTGTTCCCGCTCCCAACGGGACCTCACCCCTTCTCGCTGCCGAGAGTAGCAGGGCTCACATTAAAGGAAGAATCGAGACTGTGTTATATGCAGGTATGTTGGAGACCTTCTTCCCTCCTGGTATACTTTGGTGTCTGCTCCAGTCTCCGCTCTCTCGCTCTGGTGTGCCAGATCAGGAGACCCCTGAGGACTGATGCATACACACACTCAGAATGTGCTTTCCTTGTGCTATGTGCAGGTACCTGTTGGAAACAACCCTTCCTAGGAAGTCATTAGTTATAATATGTGTTCTTGCTGTATGGAAAAGTCTTTGTTAATTTTACCTTTTTAATCTATTTATAGTAAAGCACTCTATAGCATATACTCCTGAGTCTTCTCTAGATGTGCTGTCGATATAGAAAAATAATTGACTAAACATTTGTCAGACATCTGCTGGTAGCCTTTGGCCTGTTTTCTCCCTTGTGATTTCCCCATTATTGGCCACATTCTCGCCTTATTAATCTCGATCACCTATAGTTTATTCTTCCTTCATTGTTCTCCATACATTAGTCTATTAATCATACAGACCTTTCTGAACATTCTCTTATATCTCTTCCCCTGTTATTTTGAGTCAGGCCCTATACTCTGCTCCTATTAGATCTTTTGTATGTCCTCCCCATATGCCTGTTTCTTTTTCCTTGGGTTTTATAAATCTTTGTTGCATCTAAAGCATTGTGCTCAGCACCAAAAATTGGTGAGGTCATTGTTGAAACCACTGCAGAACAAATAGGAGACACAAGGTGGAGGAACCAAACTTGCCCAGGTTTAGTGAGACGTTGAAGGGTTAAGGAAGCCTCTACTGGGACCACAGTAATGAACAAAATTAAGAATTTTACCAAGCTCAATGGTGCACGCCTGTAATCCCAGCACTTGAGGAGGCAGAGGCAGGTGGATCTCTGTTGTGAGTTCAAGGCCAGCCTGGTCTGCAAAGTGAGTCTAAGACGGTCAAGGCTACAGAGCGAAACTCTGTCCCAAAAACTAAAAACAATAAACAAAAAGTCCATAGGCATTCATAAAATGTTCAAAGAAGTTAGGATACTCCATGCAAGGGACCCTGAAAGGCAGAAAGGGTGTGAGAGAGTCTAGGGTGTGACTCCTAGACTTGATGTCCCTGGTGGGTTATATGAGGGGATTTGTGTCTCAGCAGCAAACAGTAGAAAATGAGGTTGGTAAAGGTAAGGGACCACATGCTGAGCTGTGCTTTAACTCGCTTGCTAAATATTGGACTCCTCCTGTATGTGTGTCTCTGCCTGGGCACTGGGGCTGACATGGTTCCTGGTCAGCAGTGCTTGGAGGCAGGAAGACAGTCAGAGAACTGTGGTGGTGCTGTGCCGAGGGCGGGCTCGGAAGCTCTGAGGCAGCAGTGGCATGGCTACTCCAAATTGTGGGTGTGCAGTGTAACTCCTTAGAGACGTAGCATCTGACCTGGAACCCGAGGGTGAGCAGTTAGCAAAACCCGCAGTGAACAAGGGAAGATGAAGAACCAGGTTCAGACCTAACGAGGATCAGTTAGGCCAGAAGGGAAGCCAGGCCATGGAAGCTTCGGGAGCAGCTGAGGCAAAGACCACGCTCTGAAGCTCACGACAGAGAGCTACATGACGGGATTTACATTTCAGGATTAGACATGGAGGGAGTAAAACTGAAAGCAGGGACGGAGAACAGGGAGCACCGTGTCTACATGTTTCGTCTCTTGGTTGCGTATTTTTAGTTCTTCCCTGTGTTGTTTAGCTTTCCTGTGCAGCGTGTGAACTGAATCCGTCTTCCCTGTAAATCGGAAGTGCTGTCCTCCATCAGACAGAACCCTGTCCTTCCAGTCTCCTCCCAAATTCCTTCTTTCTGAGTGCTGTGCTCATTAAGAGTTGTCTTAGACTGCTTCAGAATCTCTCCCACAGGGTTTGGTCGGGCTTTCCCATAGAACGGCATTGTTCATCTCTCACCCTTTGGATCTCTGCCGCGCACCAGGCACTACTGTGCATCTTTGTTCATAGTGCGCCTCCTACTGGTGGCGGGGGGAATTTACGTCTGTACACGCCCAGCCTCGGTCTGGGCTGAGTGGTCTACGGCATCACATTTTGCTGGGCTTCATGGAGCTAGGTATTAAAGAATTGAACATTGACTCTCTGTATTATGGGTAATACTTCCCTTTATTTTTCTTTCAGAGTTTGGAGTTGTCTGCCTAATATTCTCTGCCACCCTCGCTTATTTTCCATCCCGGCCTCCTCTTCCTCCCAGTGTTGCTGCAGCGAGCCAGCGGCTGAGTTACCGGCGCAGCTTTTGTAGGTTACTAAGGTGAGGCTCCTTAGGGTCATTGTGTGGCTGTGACTGTGGCTGTGACTGTGGCTGTGGCAACTGTCAGTATAATCCTGTGTGTGTGTTTGTGTGTCTCTATGATAAGGATAGGGGTGGCACACGTGTGGGTCTCCTCCTTCCTGGGGGGCTGGTAGCCACCAGCCCACGAAGGCAGGAGGAGCAGAAGGCGAGGCTCAGAGCTTGGAAGGCCAGTGAGCAAAATGGAGATTAAACACTTCAGGAAGCCCATCAGTGAGCTGATTCAACTTTAATTCCAGAGAACATAGGCTCTATAACCTTTGGGGAGTTGATGGGAGCTCTAAGGATATGTGTATATAATTGGTTAAAACTAGGCACTTCAAGGATGCTTGATTTGTAGTTAAACAGCACGATCCTGTCATATGAACGGGAACACAGTACTAATTATCAGATAGGCACAGGGAGGGGAGAGCTAGCAGGGAGCTGAGTCAAAGGCCATATATCAAATGTGGTTAGGGGCGCCTGTGTCTAGAGACACTCTCCAGATTAAGTCAGGCAGAGAGCAGGAGGCCCTGCTGGGGAGAGGGAGTCCTGCACCTTAATGCTGAGCTCAGAATGGCTATCCAGACTGGGAGGACTGCAACCTCAAAAAGCAGCCCCCCCCCCCCCCCCCAGCACACATGTGCCACAGCACACACGTGGAGGTCAGAGAACAACTTTATGAAGTCACTTCTCTGCTCCATCTTTACATGGGTTCCAGGGATCAAACTTGGGTCATCAGCATTGATTGGCAAGTTCTTTGCCCACTAAGCCATCTCCCTGGCCCCTAATTCTTCATGTTTAAGGATAACTTGAGCTGGTAATTTTTTAGCATTAATTAGATTGTGCTAGCAATCAGATTAGTTAATTAGCATGAACTAATTCATGCTAACATTAACTGAAATGTTAATTAAATACTTTAATTTTCTATCAGAAATATATCTTGAAAATTTACCCCACACCAAAATGTCATTAAATTTTTCTTTATCCACATTCCATGTAGACTAATATTTAATTTTTTTAGTATTTAAAAAAGATCATCTTTTAATTTCTGTAAATAATTTTTGTTATATAGCAACTTACATCATATCGTCTATGAAATTATAAAATTTTCATGTTTTCTATATTTTCCCTACTATTTGGGTTCTTTGTTGTGTATTATCACACATTATGTAGGCACCAGTGAATGCAAAGTGATAAAATGATATTCTTTATATGTCATCTGAAACCATCTCAGCTACTCAGTGTACTCGTTAGGCTCGTAGAGTAGGAACTGCAATGTGTGACTCATTTTATTGGTTTAGCTTCAGTGTAGTAAGATTAAATTCTGCCCTCAAAGGCTCATATGAGCTAGGAGTAAGCTTGACTCTCCGGGCACATCAAATGTCACTATGGATTGTGGCTTGCACTTGTGACATTTGATGCCACCATTTGAATTCTCTTTCCTATTTAGTTCTCAGGAATTGTTACCCATTCATTAGCTCTCTAGTTGGTTCTTGCTTTTTTTAAATTTTTTTCAATCTTGCTGAAGGCCAGCTTCAACAGGTTAGTTAAACTGAGGAGAAGTGTGGAGTTGGCGATTAATCACTCAGCAGAGTTTTCTCTGAGGGACCAAAACTTGATTCTGTGGGGCCAGCCAAAAGGGGGAAAATCACACACACACACACACACACACACACACACACACACACACACTTGATGGATGAAGTAAGGCTCCAACAAGCTTCCACAACTTTACATACACACACACACACACACACACACACACACACACACACATTTGGTGGATGAAGCGAAACTCCAACAGGCACCAGCAACTTTGCTTTTTTCCTACAGCTTGTATATCCCATCAAACTCTTTTAAGCAATATAAAATTATAATGTGGTTGCATTCTGTTTTGTTTTTTTTTTTTTCAAGTGAATGAGTACAGTGAAACATGATCAAACTTTCACATGTTACAAGTGAAAAACAAATTATTCCCAAGAGCCCATGTATATATCAAAGCAACTTGTGATCACTAAACAAAATGTAACAAAGTGTAAGCAAACTATTTTTTTCAGCCAGTTTCTCTTACTGGCAGGCTGCAATTTGTGGTTACAAAGAAAAGACCAATTATTTTATTGTTTATCTTAAAAAGTAATCTTGTAAAAATCTAAACTTTTATATGTATAAAAAGTCAGACGTTTCTACTTAGGGTACACACCTACCTATTCATCAACATTTTTTTTTAATTAAATCATGTCAGGAATTGGAGGACAAAAATGGGTACAAGAAACTAATCATCATCTTGATGACTAGCCCAGCTTTAGCAAAAGAGGCACATCAGACAGGCTGCCGTTGTTCTTTTTCCCTGATGTCAAAAAAATCCCTTGCCCAAGTTTCAAGAGTGTGCGTTTCTGAACTTCCCCAAGATTTTCTGCATCAAAGAAACTAGCAAAAGAAGTCTTTATCTAACTTTACTAACAATCTACATTTCTAAGTTCTTTCTAAGGGTGATGATTAAGCCGTTCCTCTGCTTCAGGAACAATACTTAGAAAAGATCAGTCACTAATATTGTAAGTGCCAGTGACACTGCCCAGTGCGGGGCTGGAAACCCCCTTAGAGCTTCCATACAACTCATAGATATGGAGGGATGTGATAACCCGGAGGGCAAAGAGCAGAGCAAAACTCCATAGCTGCACAAAGTCCTCAAGACACGCAGTTCTGGGGCTCTGCCTCACCGAGGCACACCCATCGTGGCTGTGCTAATCATTGGGCCGCATTCCCTGAATTCTAAAGCTGTTTGCTGCTCCTCTTGAACATTATCTCTTTATCTCTTGCCCCATGGGAAATTCCTTGCAGTAAAAAACTATATCATTGTATCCTCAGTATTAATACCCAAGTCATATGCTCAGCATAAAGTTTTTAGTATCTCACTAAGAAATATTAGAAGGAAAGTTAATTTTGGTAGCATATTTTATTCAACTGTAGGTATCAAAATATCTTAACATGTGGTCAATGTTAAAATTATATTAATATGATATTTTACTATCCCTTTTTTTAGTATCTACTATGTGTTCACCTGTGAACGCGTCTCAATTTGGACTCTGTTTTCATTAGAAATAGTTGATATATATTTAAATTCCATCAAATCTATAGTTGAAAATCACTCATTGAACAATATTTCCAATGTTTTACTTTTTATCTAAAATTTTTTTAATTATTTTTATTTTTATATTAATTACAGTTTATTTACTTTGTATCCCAGCTGTAGCCCCCTCCCCTAAAAAATTTTTTTTGAAGTTATTGTATTCCCACACTTTGACTGCACAGGTAGGTCCTTGACATTAAAGGAAAGATCTTATTGGGTCGCTCCTTTAGAATACACTCAGTCTTCACTTTTTTTCTCAAATTTTTGAACAAAATTTCCATAACTGAATAATCATCTTACCATCTCTTTACCTAAAATTGTTTTTCTTTTTATGCAAGAACCCAAAGCTTTTTGTAGTTAGCCCAAGTCCTAAGTTCAGATCTATCAGCAACTGCTTGTGATATTATTTGGATGTTTAATTCTGATTTTTAGCAACTAATTTTCTTCTTGTTTGTTTATAAGAGAGAGCCCTACTGTGTAACCCTGACTGGCCTGGAACCTGTTTTGTAGACCAGGCTAGCCTTGAGTGCTGGCACTAAATGAGTATGTCACCAACTCTGGCTGCTTGATTCCATTCAGATTGTTGAATACAAAGTGTCTGACAGAATTCACCGCGGGTTTGCTGACAGTGTCTCTTAGAACTAGCCGCGTAAGCAACCTGCGTCTCCCCAAGGCACAAATTTAATTAGCTGTGCTGCTGCACGTTGCCACCTGTGATATTTGCAGCACGCTTTCTCTAAGTGAGCAAATTGCAATATTAGGTCAGTGTGTACAAGAATTAGGATTAAATCAGTTCATTGACACTGGGAAGATCAGTGGCCACAGTGTGTGTACCCCAATAATGTCTTATGTGTTGCAGTTGTTAAAGTGAGGTGTAGTCCTTCAGGAAACAGAGCTTAAGGACCAGGGATGTCACGCGGTTTGTAGGGTACGGCCCAGCAAGTGGGAAGCCCCGGGCTTTATTTCCAGCAGTGCACAGAAACTAACAAATAAATAAGGGTTAATGGAAAAGTACTTTTCATTTCGTGTGGATTCAAGTTTAGGCTGAACTTAGTTAAAAGGAAGAAATGAAAAGTTCAGCTCCTTAGTTGTGATAGCCCCTTTCACACGGTTCACACCCCAGCTAATGTGACGGATTGCACACTGTCATTGTGTGCACAGTGAGATGAGTACAGTAGTTCGGAAACACTGTGCCTAGTGTAATGAACACGCTTTGTGAAACATTACCAAGGAAAGTTAAATTTCTGACTCATAAGGTACAGTAAGAAGGTTTTGAAAATCCACTTCACTGAAGCACCGTGGGCATTACTTCCCACATAACAGATAGAAAAGCATCATGGGGCAGCAACATGGCTCAGTAGGTGAAGGCGCGTACCACCACGCCCAGTTCCTGAGTTCCATCCCAGGATGGGAATGGTGGAGGGAGAGAACAGACTCATGAAAGTTCTCCTCTCTGTCCATCTATCAGACTGTCTGTCCGTCCATCCATTCATCCATCTATCTTTCATACTGCTTTCTCACATACATACATACACACATACATACAGTAACTAAATAAATGTAACAAAAACTATTAGTTAATTGGGGTCTGTGGCACACATTTGCAAGGTGGTAGTTTAAAATAACAGTTCTTTAAAATGTTGTTTATTCAAATTTGTCTTACTGCAAAGTCAACAGAAAATCTTTGGCAGGAAATGCAAGGCGTTAAAGGGCATTGTGTTCAGTTGCAAACAAGTTGTCCTGACAGGGAAAAAAGAGTAGCTTTATTTTTCTGGCAACTTCCTGAACAGAACACCAACAGCACAGGCTCTAAGAGCAACAATCAATAAATGGGACCTCATGAAACTGAAAAGCTGTAAAGCAAAGGACACTGTCATCAGAACAAAACGACAGCCTACAGATTGGGAAAGGATCTTCACCAACCCTATATCTGACAGAGGGCTAATATCCAGTATATATAAAGGACTCAAGAAGTTAAACAGCAACAAATCAAGTAATCCAATTTAAAAATGGGGTATAGAGCTAAACAGAGAATTCTCAATAGAGGAATATTGAATGGCAGAGAAACACTTAAAGAAAGAAAGACAACATCCTTACTCATCAGGGAAATGCAAATCAAAATAACCCTGAGATTTCACCTTACACACATCAGAATGGCTAAGATCAAAAGCTCAAGTGATAACACATGCTGGAGAGGTTGTGGAGAAAGGGAAACCCTCCTCCATTGCTAGTGGGAATGTAAACTTGTACAACCAACTCTGGAAATCAATCTGGCATTTTCTCAGACAATTAGGAATAGTGCTTCTTCAAGATCCAACTATACCACTCCTAGGCATATATCCAAAAGATGCTCAAGTATATAACAAGGACATTTGCTCAACCATGTTTGTAGCAGCTTTATTTGTAATAGCCAGAACCTGGAAACAACCCAGATGCCCTTCAACTGAGCAGTGGATACATAAATTATGGTACATTTACACAATGGAATATTACTTAGCAATAAAAAGCATGGAAATCATGAAATTTGCGGGTAAATGGTGGGAACTAGAAAAGATCCCTGAGTGAGGTATCCCAGAAGCAGAAAGACACAGGGTTTATACTCACTCATAAGTGGATATTAGACATATAATATAGGATAAACATACTAAAATCTGTGCACCTAGAAAAACTAATCAAGACCGAGGACGCCGGCTAAAATGCTCAATCCCCATTCAGAAAGGCAAAGAGGACGGTCTCTTTTTCTAACTGGCTCTTATTAAAAATTCGCTTGTGGAGGAGCCAGCACCTTTGTCTTCCAGTCTGGTCTGTAGAGGGTCTCACTGTGTGGGATGACTAGACTCTGTCCTTTGTGTTCTGTGTAAATTGTTAGTCAAAGCTTTGTTCTGAGGTGGGGTGTCTTAGCTTTGTTCTGGGGTGGGCTTTCCTATAGCTTTGGGTTTAGTTGGTTGGTTGGTTGTTAGTGTCTCCTGGAATGGAAGCAGGGCCTTGTGCATGTCCTATCAGTACTCTGGCACTGAGCTATAGCCCTAGCTCTCGCTTTTGTCTTGTCTTTCTTTATCTTTTTTAACATGATTTCATTGGTGAGGATAGTCCTTGCTATCTGAAGAGCTCTCATTTTCTTCTCAAGTTGTGTCTCTACCACTCTGTACACAAGTGGCCCTCTGTCCCCTACGGTGCTAACCAATCACATTTTATCTACCCATCCCATTGTGTACCCAGATTGCTTCCAGTGTATTGCTGCCAAGACACAAGTGCCATGATACTCTCATACACTGTCGATCTGAGATGTATTTTGGAAAATGTGCCTGCTGGTGTATTGTTAGGCCATAGATTCTCTATCATCCCTTGCCAGGTATCACTATACTATTCTCAAAAATGCCCAGTGGACATCACATTATCAATATTTTGTCATCTCATTTTGCTACTATAATAGATAAAAGCTGTATTTTATTTAGCTTATTTTATGTGATTATTAATGGATTTTGACTCTGGTTCTATGATTTGTGGCTTATTAGGTTTCATCTACTCTCAGTTCCTCTCCATAGTTTTGTCCAGTTGTAAATGGAAGTTCCTAAATGACTTACATATCTTAAGTATAAATCTCTTGTTAATCTAAAAAGTTTCAAGTATCTGCTTCCGGTCTGTGGCCTGCCTAATAATTTTTGCACATTTTTAAAACTTACTACTTGTTGGTTTTTCCCTTTCATATCTAGGTCTTTATCTCACCTTAGTGAAGGCTGTTGCAGCTGGTGTAGGGGGTCTGATGAGCAGCATCGGGAAGCACCCTTGGCATTGGCTGGCAGTGCTGTCTCACCGTGTGTGGAATTTTTGTGCCTTGGTGTCCGTGCCTCTCTGTGGCCTCTTTGTTGTGAGGCAGTGTGACGCTGTCGCTGCCTTAGCCAAGCAGTCAGGATTACTATCTCAGGACAAAGGCTTCTCTATCCATCTTTTTAAGGGTAACTTAGCATTTTAAGGAATTTTATTTTTCATATTTTGTTAAGTTTCTAGAAAAAAAAAGTAGGATTTTAGTTGTGACTACATTGAATTTGTAGATTAATGTAGTCTGATAGCATGGACTGTCAGTCTGTTTAGATTGTCTCTGCTCTCTTAAGATTTTCTTACCTTCTTTCCTTTCTTCCTTCCTTCCTTCCTCCCTCCCTCCCTCCCTCCTTCCCTTCCTTCCTACTGTCCCTAGCCTTCCTAGTTTATTCTTAGGTGCTGTGTGGATTTTCTTTTGGTTTGCCTTTTTAAAGATGGGGTCTTGATCTATAACCCAGGCTGTTCTGGAACTCATGGCCACAAACTCAAAGTAACCGAACTGCCTCAGCCTCCTCAATACAGTCTTAACACGTAAATGTAACAAGGCAGACACTGCGAAGTTAACAAATAGGTGTGAAAAAGAAACTTTTGGTGCCATTTCTTGTTTTGTTGTTTGTTTTTTAACTTTCATAATATATGTTGATCATATTTTCCCCTCCTCCAAGTCATCTCAGGTTCTTATCTGCGCCTCTACCCAACCAACTTCATAATCTCTCTCTTAAGAAAGACAAACACAAAAAGCCAAAAACAAAACATGGAGTTCATTTTGTGTTAGCCAGCTATTTCTGAGCATGGGGCCTGCCCTGGAGTGTGGTTGATTTTATCTGTTGTCACTCCACTAAAGAAACTGATTTTCCCTGTCCCAGCAGATAGCACTTAACAAATAGCTTCCTGGTTAAGGCTGAGACTTTGTGTCCATTCGCTTCTCAGTGCTGGGATTTTGTCTGTCCTGAACTGGGGCAGATCTTGTGCTTACTGCCATGATCTCTGAGTTTGTATGTTGTGTCTAGAAAATTGTGTTTCTCTGGAGTCATCCACCAACGCTGGTTCTTTCCACCTACTGAGCCCTGATGGCTGGCAGGGTTGGGATAAAATCTTGCCATTCAGGCTTGGTGCCACAGAGCACCTTCTTATAAAAAACTAAAAAGTTAAGGAATCTTGAGTTTATTAATAAGTGGACACATTTCCTATTCTAATTCTGTATTCCAGTTTTAAAATGACTTAAGTATCTTCTAAATAGTTTAAATTCTGCATTTTTAATTTGTAATAATGTTTTCTTTTGCAGCAACTTGAGGTTTTTGATGATTGCTTTAGCATATGCAATACCACTTGGTGTGTTTGCTGGCTGGTCTGGAGTTCTGGACTTAATTTTAACACCAGTGCATGTTAGTCAAGTAAGTATTTGTGCCTGTGTATGTTGTTGGTATTTTAGCTCATTTAATTTATAAATAATGGTGATATGTTTTGATTTTAACTTCAAAGGCCGGGTAAAATGTTGCCTAAATTGTTGTTGGAAAAACAAGATTCCTATGAGACAGTTGAAAGCTTGATTTTTAACATCCGCCATGAGTTTCACATTTCTTTGGCTCTGTTAATACTGATAAACAGAAGAGAAAAAAAGTCTTAGTTTTGTTAACTTCATCATTTATTCTTGTTTCATACTTGATAAATTAAGTTATGAACCCATCATCTGCTATATTGCTGTCCTAAGTGCTTTCTTGTCTCAGAATTAGGATGTCTCTTTTTTAGAAAACATAGCCACGGACCAGCATGATGGCTTAGTGGGTAAAAGCGCAATGATCTGAGTTTGATAATCAAAACCCACATAGTAGAAGGAGAGATCTGATTCCCACAAGTTCTTCTCTGCCCTGCACTTATGAACACACACACACACACACACACACATACACATACACACACACACACACAAATGCAAAAGATTACCAACGGCATTAAACCCTGTCACCATGCTCATTGCCATTACGGCATTCTTTTAGCTTCCAGACAGCACGGTAGGAGAGGCAGATAGAGGAAATCCAGCACCCCGGTGTGCTGTCGTTGTTCTGTGAAAGAACAGTTTGGCAGCTGCTTTTAATGAGCACTTGCGTTGTTTCCCCTTCCTCACTGTCGCAGCAGGGCTGTGGGGCCATTCTCATGCACTGCTCTCGCCGCCCCTCCTGCACGGTGCTTTTGCTTGCATGTCTAGGAAGGGAACTGCTGGTTTTCGTGTTGCCTCCTCTGACAGGCAGTGTAAAACCTGTCGGAGGTGGCCGCACCTGTTTACGATCCTGCCAGAAGCACCCGCCGTTTCTCCCGCTCCACGGGCATAGAGCCCTTGGCAATGCAGCAGTGTTAGCAGCCTCTTTCACAGCCATGCTGGTGAGCGTGCCTTGCATGCATCGCAGTGACGTCTCTAGTGTCTCTCAACTGCTAGTGGACATGTGAATGGCCCATTTTGTGACTACCTGTCTCTTGCTGAAAAACAGAGAGGTATGTGTGAGGTGGTAACACAAGACAACAGAGAGGTATGTGTGAGGAGGTGACAGAGACTACAGTGCGCATTCCCTCCCGCTCCCAAAACGCTGGCTGAGAAACGGCCTGCACACCTAGAGCTCCTAGGAGCTTAGCTGGTAGCCAGCCACCTCGTTCAAACTGGAGCAAAGACAGCAGAGGTCGAGCTGGAGTGTGGAGACAGTACAACACCCCAAACACTTTCGTCCCACTACGGGGGACTGAATTTTCAGGGCCTCCCACAGGCGAGGCAAGGGCTAACACCATGTGAACATTCCTGCACTGGTGATGTCACCTGAGGGAGTTAGGGGGAGCTAAAACAGGAGAAGCGTCCTGAGATGGGGGTAGCCGCTAATGCTTAGCAAGCGCTTGCTCTGCGCTGCCCGCCAAGCCAAGTCCTGGGCGCACACATTCTCACTCATTGTTCAGTAGATACAAGGCGTAACTTACCACGGTCACTGCGCTCATCGGTAGCAGGAGCAGAAACAGTTTCTGAGTTCAGCTTTCCTTTCTATCTACTTTATTCATCAGGCTAAGTGACAAAATATTAGGTTGACAGAACAACCTAACAGGAAAAAAAGTGTTACTTTGGCTTATGATTTTCGAGATTCTAGTCTGTGTTGGCTTGGCTATGGGGCTGAGAGAGGCAGACATCATGCCAGGAAGCAAGACAAGATGAAATTCCTAAGGACATGTGCCCAGTAACCTCCTTCCTCCAAGTGGGCCCTACCTCCTAAGGCTTCTGGGACTTCTCAGGTAGTAGCAGCAGCTGGGGACCGAGCTGAGTCACGAGGCCTAGGGATATGTGTCATATCCAAATTATAATCTCACTCTCTTCCTTAGCCTCATATCTCTCTCCCTAGCTCTCTCCTGTCCTCTCACATCTGTCATCACCAGATAGAGTTTCAGATTTGGCCAGATGTTTTAGCAAGAAATTAATTTTTAGCAGTTTTATGTATGGTGATTAGATTGAATCTTCTTGCAGTCAGGGGCCATTTCCTATCCTTTCTTATTGAGGGTTCTCAGTATTAGGCAATACAGTAGTTCTTAGAACCAGGCAATGCTGGTGTAAGCACATGCCTGAAAATATTTAATGATATTATTTTGTTGATCTAAACATTCCAGTAAAAGTTAATGGAGGGTATAATTACACAGATAAATTTGTATTCATTAATTACACGAGTCCTTTTATTTTATCCATTTTCTTAAATATTTCCTACATTTGTTGCCATTTAGCTGTTAATATTGACTGTAGAAGCTTTCATTTAATTTCTCTATGGTTGCAACATGACAGTCTTGTGTTAATATGTCTGTTACTTTAACAGGTAGATGCTGGCTGGATTGGATTTTGGTCCATCGTTGGAGGCTGTGTTGTTGGGATAGCTATGGCAAGGTGAGAATGTTTCATATCACACTTATAAGTGGATGGGCAGGTGAGAAAAAGAGAGAAGTGGGGGAAAGAGCAGAAGGCCAGAAATGGCTGCTTGTGCAGGCTACAAGGAATGTTCATGTGGCAGAAAGGATCCCAGCTACAGGAAGCCTGCTTGGGAGCACTCCCTCCCACAGTGGTTTCTGAAGACAAGAAATGTATTTCCAATATAATTAAGCACTTTGTCTTTGTATTATTCCTCAAATGGGGAACCCCTCCAAAAACTGATATAGTTTTTAAAAAATAATAAACAGGTAAAGCAATAATTAGAAAGAAGAGATGTGTTGAAGATCCGTGTGTCAGAGCATCTCCGAGCACTCGTGGAAAGGCCGACCCCGAGACAGTGCCCTATGGTTAACCCACCTGGATGAAAATGTCTGTGAAGGTCCCCCATCTCCCCAGACTCTTTCATCCCAACCCATTATGACAACAAATTTGTAGGATGGGTTAGAAGAAGAGGATTCTTGTTTATTCTAAAACAGAAATCTTGGAAATAGAACATTAATCATTCCTGGACTGCCGGTGAAACTGCTCTTGGTGTTTCTAAGGAAAGAGCCCTCCAAGCCAGTACATCGTTCCAAGACTGGCAGGTCACTTTGCAGGAAGAAGAGAATCTAATTACAAATTTGATGAGATTGAGAGGACACGTAAACTTCTCAGTTTCTGGCCCTGAAACATGATTGGCCCAGGATGACACATGTAGACCTGGCAGTTCCTACATAGTTTCTGGGGTGATGCAGGAATAAAGTGAAATTATTACTTCCAGCTCACTTTATTTTTTTTTTAAATTTTTTTCATGTTAGAAAATCATAGAAGAATAAAATCCAAAAGCTAAAGGTTTGCGCTAGGAATGCCTTTGACTGATTGGGAAACACACTGCCTGACAGTTCTGACAAGAATCATTCAGTTTTTCTATAATAAATAATAATCTTCATAAACTTGGAATTCAGACCAAGCATTTGGCATCTCCTCAGGGGCAGGCATTTTATTAAACTTGGGATCTGTCCAGAGTATGTAGAAATATCTACTGTTAGGAGAGCAAACCTGAAGAGAGAGAGAGAGAGAGTACAAACCTATCACTAGCAAGTAGCCCGTTCTTCCCACCAACAGGTGGCAGCAGGTCTCACGTGACACAGTCACATACTCCAGAAAACACCAACAAAACACCGTCATACTGAATAAATGCAAACAACAACAACAAAAAGATCATTTTAAAGAGTTATAAAGGACAGCTGCATGAAATAGACGTTGCAATCCGTTTTAAAGATAATGGAGAGGACATGGTTAATGCTGCGGACATTTCTGTAGCAGAAATAATACCAAAGGATGGAGTGACTGTGTTTAGGCACAGCCAGAGCTGTGGTAGGAGCAAATGGAAATGGGGAGAGAGGCGAAGGGTGTGGCCTTTAGTTTATGTAGATTAGGGAAAAAAAATAAGTTTTGAGAATCTAAAATGCTATAAAATTCTCAGCTTTATGGGCAATATCCAACATCCTTTCCCACACCTATTCCCCACCCCAGACTGATTTTCATGTCTCATTTGACTGGCCTTGAACTCTCCCCCTTCCCACCCTGGGTGCTAGGATTATAGCCATGTGTGGCCATAGCTTAGCTGTAGTCTTGCTCTTAGAAAGTTCACAGCCTAGTAAGAAGACATGAAATAAACAAATGATTTCCAACAAAGTTGTTGGGGGTTTATAAAGCAGAATTCAGGGAAGGGCTTGAGTGAGCATGAAGGGACAAGACCTAGATGGGCGGAGCAGTAGCAGGAGTGAGCTATGTGAGGGTCTGGGGTGTTAGTATAGTCAGAAGAAGGGCAGCTACAAGCAAGTACCAAAGATGAACCCTGCTGTGGGAACCAGCCTTCGCATGGATGAGAGGAGAAAACAGTTACGCAGCTGCAGAATGGGGAAGGAGAGCAGAATAGGGCCAGGTTTTGCTGGACTTTTGTATGCATTCTTTGGAGGTGAGTTTTGGAAGAGCCAACTTTGCACATCGGTTTAGCTCTAAAACCGAGCTAATGTGTGTTGATTAGAACATGTTTAAAAAGTATAAAAATGGAAAAAAAAAGTCAATTTAAAAACTCTGTTCTGTGAACTGTAGACTCCAAACATTATATTTTCTAATAAGGGGAAGTTATTGTAAAGTGACATCCTAGACACCAAAAAGAAGTAAATATGTATTTATAACTAGCTTTTAAAGTTATTCAAGTAATAGTTGCTTAAATGGGGTATGTTGCTAATTTAAACAATACTGAGAAGTCTAGCTGGGGTTAACATAATACTGTTTCTTTTCAGGTTTGCAGATTTTATCCGGGGTATGCTGAAACTGATCCTTCTCCTCCTGTTTTCTGGGGCTACACTGTCATCCACCTGGTTCACCCTGACCTGTCTAAACAGCATCACACACTTGCCTTTGACAACAGGTGAGCACAGACTGTTTTTGAGATTGGGATAAATATTTTCAGTTCACAGAACTGCACATACTCTGATAGCAGGACCTTGTCTTTGCTGTTCTGTATACAGCGCGGCAGGCTACGGAGATGGCTCAGTTGGTGAAGTGCCTGTGGGTTAGCATGAGGACCTGAGATCAGATCCTCATAAATGGTGAGGGTGAGAGGTTAGAGACATGGCCAGATGTCACAAAGACTCAAGTTCAGTTCCTAACGTGAGTCTTCGGTGGCCAGCTGACTCCAGCTTCTAAGGATCCAACACTACTGGCCTCCAAGGGCAGTTGAATTCACATGTACATACCTATGCGCATACACAGAATTTTAAAATAGTTCTGTTTTTAAAGGTGGGGGCCTTCCTGGGCACGGTGGTGCATGCCTTTAATCCTAGCATTCGGAAGCAGAGGCAGGTGGATCACTGTGAGTTAGAGGCCAGCCTGGTCTACAAAGCAAGTTAAGGCGAGCCAAGGCTACACAGAGAAACCCTGTCCTGAAAAACAAAACAAAACCAAAAAAAGCCTAGGGCTCAGATACAGGCAGATCAATGAAGCTAGCCAGCCTGTCCCAGCTAAGGGACTTCAGGCCCAATGAAAGCCTATGTCAAAAAATAAAAAATAAATCGGAAAGGGATTGGAGAAGGACACCAAAAATCAACATCAGGACTCCACACGTGTATTGCGTATGTCCATGTGAGGCTGCACACATTTGTGTATATGCCATATGCACACACACACATTCCAGGTAAAAAGAATCCAAGACATAATTGAATGTTATGGGTAGGGAAGTGTCCTGTTTACATGATCTCATATAGCATGAAAATGCTTATTTATGTATAAAATTCACATCAAAGCATGACATATTTTTGTCCTGTTTATACTTGTTACTAAACAGAGCCGTGAAGGCAAAGCACCATTATATCTAGAGTATACCTCCATACAGTTCTGAGCCGGCCTGGTGCCTTAATTTATACGGAGTTGTCACATCATCTGTATAAAACATGATTTCTGGAAACGCCTTTTGGAAGCTTACTTTGTGTAATCGACCAGAAATATTTATAGTTGCTGTTACTTTTATTGTTTTTACTAACATAAATCTGAGATTTTCCTGTTGTTGCTGAAGTAAGTTACATAGATGTAGCAGCTCACCTGCAGTACAAATGATTACCTCACGCCCCTGTAGAGCACAAATCATCCTACATCCTGGGAATGGGACGAGATCTACCTCAGGTGTCTGCGCTAAAATCCCCATGAGGACTGGAGAGGAGAATCTAGTTCCCCGCCCCTGGGGGCCAAAGCTCTGCAGCGTGCTGCGACCCCCATGACGCCGTTCATAGTTGCATGCGGACCCTCTGCCCCTCCCTCTGCTTTCTGGGATCCTTGGCTCACATTGAGCCCGCTCACATAATCCAGGATAATCTCCCAATTTCAGACTCCAGTTATTAGCAACCTTAATCCCATCCCAGGCCTAATCCTCTTTTCCCGTAAGGTAACACATTGGTAAATTCCAGAGACCAAAACATCGTTCTTTAGGGGAGAAAGACATCATTCTGCCTGCCCCAGGGTCTTGTCTAGATTCCCGTGATGGCTTACTAAGGAAGGCAGGGACGCCTTGACTGGTGCGTCTTCTAATAAAACATTGCTTCAAGAGGTAGGTTTCTTACGCATCTTGCAAGTAATTTTTAGCCGCTGTGGATTAGATGCCTAATTACAGGATTATTTATTGTGAAGTGCACCTGGGGATTAATGTCACACCGGCATGTGATGAGTAGGAGTAAATAGCAATCTGAAGGCTTGGGGGTCCCACCTTCCCAGCGGCGTGTGGTTCCCTTTTCCCTATAGAGTTTAGAGTTTCTGCACATCCTCCTTTGGGTCTCTGTATCTGGAATTAGAACCAGGATGGATACATCAACAGTAGTCCCTGGGAGTCCCAGCCACTTTTACAGAGTTGATATATCAGCAGTCATGTAAGGTCGCCAGACAGAGGGCCCCAGCAGCCGAGAGAGCCCAGCAGCCACAAGGGGCCCAGCAAACTCACAGGGGCCATGTTGGGCCCTGACATCTGCTAGACTCCAGTGCAGCCTACGGTCCAGGGAAGTTCGCAGTGCCGGTAGTCTGGGGTTCCTCCTGCTTACGTCATAGCTTGAAGAAGCTATTCACAGTTGGCGTAATAATGAGCAAATCTCCACAGAACTGATCTGGGAGAGGAAACGAAGGTGGCAGTATTCGGTGTGATTGGAAATTTGGGGCTCTGTGGTTGGCCATCAGATGCACACACGCTGTAGTACCTGTGCTTGTTCATTCTGTCTGTGGATGCTACTCTCGGTGGCTGCTAAGTCGTCAGGACACACACACTTACTCAACTGTTCACCTCATGTGTGTTCAGCCCTGTTGTTAGCTATTTCTTTTGTCCTTGAAGCACCATTAAAGATTGATGCCATACTAAGTAAGCATTAAGGACACAGAGGTGGTAGGCCGGCATGATGGCTCCATGGTAAACATGCTTGCTGCCCAAAGCCTGAGTTCTGTCTCCAGAACCCACATGGAGCAGCAGAAAGCTGCCTCTATACATGTGAGCATATACACACACAATTAACAAATAATAGATAGATGATAGATAGATAGATAGGTCTAATTTTTTAGATTAAAAAAACATAAAAGTGGATTTTTTTTTTGTTTTGGTTTGTTTTCGTTTTTGTTTTTTAAGAATTCTGGGAAACCAGCTTCTGCCATCCTCAGTCCGCCCTCTTGAGCTGTGAAGTCCAGGTGTCCAGGGTAATAATTAGGCCCTGACTGAAAATCTGTGCCTGTTTGTATCTCAGTGTTCCTACACGGGGCTGCAAACAATTAGGCAAGTGTTCCAAATCAGAGTTCTTTTAAAATGTATTTAATTTTATGTGTCTGGGTGTTTTGCCTGCTGTATGTCTGTGCACCACATGCATGCTGTGCCCATGCAGGCCAGAAGAGGGCATCAGGTCCCCTGGAAGTAGCGTTGCAGACACTTGGAGCTGTCATGTGAGTGCTGGGAATCAAACCCGGGTCTCCTGGAGGACCAGCAGTGCTCTCGACTACTGAGCCACCTCTCCAACTCACTGGGCCAGATTTTTCTTAAACTTCATTCTGGTATAGTGTAGCAATTGGGCAGTAGTCAGGTGGGACCATTTTAGTTTACAACTCCTCTCATCCATGGAACTACATGCAGATTTTTTTTTCATGATCCCAAATAGAAGTCAGCATGTGTGAGGCTTTACAAGATTATGGTCATGGGTTATTGATGGCAGCTGTTGGTTATTCATTATAAGACAGGAGCAGCTCCATCAGAGTGGAGGCGTTAGGAGGGAATTTAGCTTTTTACATGTGCTTTTGTGTGGGTTTGTACAGTGAGCATATCTGTCTTTTATAGTCGGGGGCAGAGTATATTTGAAAACTGTACCTCTTTGTACCCTTCCACTGCTGTGATTGACCTCATCAAGACCACGTGTTCCAGCCTCTGGTTGTAAAGAATTCTGCTAGGCTGGAAGAGGGGAGACAGGCTTCTAAAGTAAATCAAGGCGGGATTGGAAGGTTGAGTTTGATGAACCATCTTAACAACCTAGGAAAATATTCAGTATACTTACATCATGATAGTTATATAAATTTTACTGTTGTTTTCACTTGCAAGTCAGTTTTCTTTTTATATCACTTAAGTATTCCTAAAAGATGGTTTTTAACTTACCAAAACCCTGGGTTAAGAACTAGCTTGTGCCCGTTTCTTCTACAAGCTCATGGCCTTTCATGTTTCACAGTGAGTAGCGTTTAGCAGGTCTCTGGCCCTCCCTGCCAGCCCGAAAATCTGAAGCATGGAGGTGTGCCTTGCAGATCCTGTCCCAGCCCTGCACCCAGGAAGGGAGAGGGGGAGAGTGGATTACCTCATCCGGAGTCTCGTTAGATAGAACTTCCTGCCTGCAGGATGCAGCAGCTGCTGCCACTCGTCATTTAACACAAGCTGCAGGGAAAGCAAAAGGGCACATTTTAATGGAACAATGGGAAATTTTAATAAATCTATCACAGGTACTCCCTCTGCCTTTGTAAAAATCTGACCTAATTCTCTTCAAGTGAAAGAGGTTACATGAAAGGAAATTTACTACAGAATCTAATTATGAACAGAGGTTGATATTTAAAGTCAGGAATGGCAAATTCGTGTTTCTTTCTGGTGGCCACTCTTAGTCAGGAAACGTGTAGTCTTCTAGCCTAGCATGGGTAGGATGTCTCTTATGGGCTTTTACAAGTCAGGAGAATCTCCATGAAAAGTGGGTGAAACGGCCATGCGCTGCAAAGTAGCTTTGTGGTCAAAAAGGCAGTGTCTATATCAGTAGGCCCCTAAGACCGTTCCCCAGCCTCTCAGCACTGTGGTGTCCAGTAGGAACAGACTCCTCTACTGCATGACTCTCACTAAACAGTGGCGAGTGTCTATGCACAGCTGTGGACAGCGAGAGCTAAGAGCTCGTTAAGTCCGCTTGCAGGGCTCTCCCGACAGCCATTATTAGTCCTTGTTACTCCACCTATCTTGGTGTTAGTGTTGCCATCTCTGCAGAAAGAAAACTGGGTCATGGCATTGTCTCTGAAGGCACAAGGGGTGGACATACGCACTTGCTCACACACGTCCTCTTGGAGGCTGTCAGCAGTATGCATTTTTTTTTTCCTCTCAGGAAAACTTAGTATTTAAAACCTCATTATTAATTAACTGAAGTGTTTACAACAGGACAAATAAATAACTTCATGACTAGATAACGTGAGCTCCATGGACAGGACAGAACGATGCAGGCGCATTATTCACCCAGTGGGAGAATGAGATGTCTCTCCGTTAGCCCAGCTCACACAGTCATTTTTTACTGTATAGATGAATGCTCGCAAAATGGCATTTTGAAAAATGTTAGCACTTTTGCGTTGAGTTTGCTGAAACAATATAATTTGACTGTTGGACAGAAGTTGCCTTGGGAG